GAATCTGGCTTCTGATAAAAAGTAAAATTTTTATGTAACAGAGATAGAAATACAGTGAGGCCGAGGGCAATGTGTTTTCTGTAGCCAGGGTGGGGCAGAGCCACCGCCACGCCACGTGGAAGCGGAAAGTTCTGTTCCATGTGATGAGGGAATGCTTGTGGCATGCGGGGCAGATGGAGTGTGAAATAGCTTCAGGAAAAGAGGTGCCCGGGGACCTTGGCTTAGAAGTGCAGTTATAGAAGCAATGCAACAAATTTCTGGATTTCAGACAGTTTGGCATTCTAGGGGAAGGAAAGCACTTTCATTGGTCTGGCTTTTTTTCTTTAATCAAAAAGTTCAGGCAGTTTTCAGCAAGCTGCTGTGTGTTTCTTTATTAACCTCAGAGCCAGCACCTAATGCACAAGACCTGAGCTAAAACTAATGTTCACATTTTACATGACCAGAAAGCTCCAGGTTCATAATTTTCTTCAGGGAAGCTTGTGTAGGGGTCGTAAGTGCATCTTGCAAGGATCTGAAACAGTATTAGGATTCTCAGCTGCACTTGGCAGTTTTACATCAGATCAGCGTGACCCTGCTTAGAAACCATTGGAGGGGTACTCTGCACTCCATGGTATCCATCAGTGCTTGACGTCCTCTCTGGTCTGAAGATGGCCCTGCTAACTGTGCTGATGGATTCATTCCCACGTGGGTGCTTGTGATCCTCACAGGGCAACTTGGCCTCTTTACTCATCTTTACTCATCCTGTCTTAATTTAAGTACCTCATCTTTTTCTAGACCCAGTTACCGCGCTTCCTCATCACCTTCTCTTCACTCCTGTTCTTCGTCCTTGCTGAAGCCCCGTCTCGAGTTCTCCTCAGATTGGCTTCACTACCTTTTACTTTGGCCTCCCCTGCCTTCTCTCCTTTCTTTTCTTACTCGTCACATGTATTTTCCTTATCTATGGTTAACACAGCCCCTCTCCTTTGAAAGCACATTTCTGCATCTCTTTCATCAAGATTTAATCTTCTACTGAGGAAAATTTAAATTCTGGTTTGTAAATGTAGGTTTGAGTGCTTGCTTTGCCCTTTGCTCCCTTGTGGCTTTAATGTTTTTAAGTCCTCTTCTTGGTTTTCTTCCTAACCCTTTGGCAAATGCTTTTCCTTAGTGCTGAGTCTTCTTTCTTTTGAGAGCTATGCATATTCTCAAATTCCCTTTAGTATTACAAATGTAAGAATTAGATTGCCAGATTTTTTTCCATTTACATAAGAAAGGGAGGATGATTTACCTGATTTATCAGCCACGGTAGCCAACCCATTTACAGAGACCAGTATGTTTAAGCCAGGTTGCCTTTTTGTACAAGACATTGAACACAGTGAAGTGGGAGGCAAAACCCCACATCTAAGCTATTAAAATCCAAATCCTGTTTTGAAAGGAACTAGTAGTTCGTTTTAATTGATCATCTTTGATAATTTCATACAGACATTTGAAAAATCCTTTACCTAAGAAGGTAAGAGGTCTTTAAAATATTGGGTTCAATGTATATGTTTCTCTTCCTGTCTTTCTAGTAGTGCTGGAGAACTGGAGGAGCAGACAGAGCGACTGAGGGAAGATATTGCAGACCTGGGTGACCTGGTACCTTTCAGCTAGTAGTTAGAGATGGGGTTATAAAGCCCTGACATTGGTTTCCTGTGATTGGTTAACAGAGTCACACTGGTTTGTGTTCACATTCTGTATGTGTAGCTTTCCAGACTGAAGGTCTTAGACATGTTTCAGAGGGAGTGGAGCATTTATCAACAACCATGTACTTGAGTGGAGTTGGCCATCTAGCTGATCTGAGAGACAGAACTAGAACCATGAGTCAGGTTGATCTTAGGAACCGGTGGGAATGGGAGCATGCCTGCTGGGTGGAGGAGTTGCTTAGATGCTGATGGTATAAAACCATGCCCAAGGTTTTTCGTGTCCCTGTGAGCAGTCTAGCTGTTAAGCACAGGCAGCAAAAGCCAGGGAAGCAGAAGCCAGCTGCCCAGTGTGGTCACTAAGGGTTCTGGATGCCTCTGTCTGGCTAGAGCCCATTCCCAATGAGTGGGAAGCCCAGAGCACTTGATTGTGCACAGACTAAGTGGCTAAGACTGGGAAAGACTAGGAAGACTGCCTGCCAGGCTCCCTGACAGCAGAGGAGGTCAGGGGGAAGTGGGATCTGAAGGGGCCCATGAAGAGATCCTCGTGAAGGGCATGAAGAAGCCTCTGTGTGCAAGTAAAAGTGGCTCTAATTAATCACAATGCTTATAAACCTTAGGGCAACAAAAGGTTCTGTGTTGAACCAGAGAAACTGCCTGCACATACAGACACCTTTTCATCACTTGATATTTTACCAAATATTTACTGAGCCCCCAATTAGAAAGATAATAAAGTACTGGGTCTTTGGTCAGTTAATATTTATTCTCTGGGTCCTGTGTCCCTGACATTGTTCTGAAATCCTCTTTCCTGCTGTTTGTCACTGAAGGTGGGGGGTGGGCGGGGCAGGGAGTGTAGCTATTGCAACAACAGTGGGGCCAGAACGGGAAGCATAGTGCTGTAGCAGGAAAGAGGGTTTCAGAACAGTATCAAGTTCTCAGTTTGGTTCTGAACCTGGTGTTCAGCTTGTCAGGGAAGGTGTTGCAAGTCATTGGGGCTTCAGATTAATTAAAGGTCACAGTATTGGAAATGATTTTAAATTACTTTAGAGATTTTAAATTACTTTAGAGATTTCAACAACAAACTATTACCATCTATTTATTGTGTACCAATTTCTTTGAGACACAATCTCCCTATGTAGCTGTGGTTGGCCTTGAACAACTCAGGGCCATATCAGCCTCCTAGTGCTGGGATGAAGGAACTGCTGCCACTTTTTATCTCACGGACAGATTTTGTTTTGTAACCTTATTCTGTCACTGGTAACTTTCTTACTACGGATAATTGTGTATATTATTTGATTTTGATACTGTTGATGGCAGTTGATAAAAATGATCCTGTGGAGAGCCCCAGAAGGCAGAGTGAGCAGAACACAGCTCTCAGCAGCACTTCACGGGATACCCATTGGGATCTGCTTCCTCATAGGCCCTCTCCTTCCCTTTTCTGTATTTTGACAGAATTGCAGTCTTGTCTTAATCTGAGCTGCTATAACAAAATACCCTAGCCTGGCTTAAATGGCAAATATTCCTCATAGATCTTGAAGTTGGGAAGTACAGGATCAAGGTACCAGAAGATTCAGAGTCTAGAGGGCCTCAGCTGTGTACACTCAGCCACTTTCCTGCCATGTCTTCACACCAGGCTGGGGGTCCTGAGTCTCTACCTTTGTTGATAAGTGGGTCAGTCCCATTGTAGCCTCTTATTCTCATGACCTCATCTAACTCTTGTCACTTCCCAAAGGCCCCATCCTCAAATACCATCACCTGGAGGAGTAAAATTCAATGAGAATTTTGGGAGAGTCAGACATTCAGTCTGAGGTAATATAATACTTACTATCCCGATTATTCCACATACAACTGTTAATTACGTCTTGAACATTTTATCTCATGTTTACACTAATGACTGTGTAGCATTCTAATCAGGGTAGTACTAACTTATTTAGGATCTTTTAACCTTAAAGTTACTTATAGTATTTTGCTCTCATGAAAAGAAGCTTTCCTTGTAGCTACTGTACACATATTTGATTATTTCCAGAAGGTGATTTCTAGATGTGTGATTTTAGTTAAAATGTACCTGACATACTCTAGAAGCGAGGGCTTCCTGACTGTTGATGGCTTTACCGGGTCTTTGGGTTGGCTCCAAAGGTCATGAAGTGAGGAGGACTTTCTAGTAGGTAGACACAAATAGGGCCTGTAGGCTGGTGACCCGAAAGACCCAGAATCCTTGCTGGGTTGTGGTCAGCTTTCTAAGTTGGTTTTATGTTTGAGGGAAGAGAGTGAAATTACAGGTACACACGTGCTGTAGCCACAGATGTGGCCCCTTGCTCTTCGTATCTCATCAGTGGGACAGTGTTGATGATCGGTGCTCATGGTTGCCCTATTTTCCAGTATGCATTTAGACTTTCAGGTTAAAGCTCCTTAAAAACTTTTTATCTGTAATAGACAAATCAGATTTAGTAGTCTTTAAAAAAAAATAAAGTAAAATAAATCTGGGGCTGGAGAGATGGCCAAGCAGTTTGGAGTAGTCGCTGATCTTCCAAAAGTCCCGAGCTCTGTTCCCAGCACCCACATGTTGGCTCACAACTGCTTATAACTCCAGTTCCAGGGGATCCATCATCATCTTCTTGTCTCCGAGGGCACTGCATGCATGTGGTGCATGTGCATATACACAGGCACTTATACATACACATTAAATAAATCAATCTTAAGAAAAAAAGAATTCTAAATCAGATTTGCCAGGGACTGGGGATAGAAGGAGACATGATGTGGCCAGAAAAGAGCAGCCCAAAGGACTGGTATGATGAGGAACCACCCTGTAACCTGTGGACTGGTGTGATGAGGAACCACCCTGTAACCTGTGGACTGGTGTGATGAGGAGCCACCCTGTAACCTGTGGACTGGTGTGATGAGGAACCACCCTGTAACTTTCGGACTGGGGTGATGAGAAGCCACCCATTACCTGTGGTGATACAGAATTGAATATTCACATAAAGAGAAGAGGGAAAGCTGTGCGGGTCTGGGTGTGGTGGCAGTTCGTGTCTTAACTGGTTGCCATACACTGTGACACTGGACAAGATGCCACTTGCCCTGTTGGGACTGATCATGTGGACATAGACTCTTGCTAACAGTTTTTGTAAGACTCTACAACAATCTCAATAAAAATTCATTTAATTTTTTTCCTAGCTCTGACACAGGATGATGTTCATCTGTGTTGTGTTTTTACTCTGACTAATCAGACCTCAGATTGATAAGTTTCCTTGTTAGTACAATCACCTGACAGAAGGAACAAATGCTCCTTAAATTCCACATTGACTTTGTAAAATAGTGAAATAACTGATTTTATCTCTCTTTCAGCCATGAAGACTTTGAATTCATTTCAGGAACGAGAATGCGCAAACTTGCCCGTGAAGGTCAGAAGCCCCCTGAAGGTTTCATGGCCCCTAAAGCCTGGACAGTGCTGACAGAGTACTACAAGTCCTTGGAGAAAGCTTAAGCCACTGAGCTGGTCAAGGTGGTCAGTCCACCTGGTCTTGTTGCAGAGTAACGGAGGGGACCACTCAAGTCGTGTCAGCATTTCCTTGTGCTGTGTCTTCTGGACACACTTCCAAAAACGGCCCGTTTCGCTTTCCTCCTTCAGTTTCCGTCTCTGCCTTTGAGTTCTCTTTTGAGCTAGTGTAACACACCGCTGGTTTGAGTGTACCTTTTCCCCTATTATCGTTAATGATCTTATAATACAATTTTGAAATCTTGCCTTTTTATATTGTATTTATTATGTTCTTACTTGGGATTTTTTTTCCAAGCTGTTAAATTAGTTTTAATCATTAATATATACATTGATTGGCTTTTCATCCCTTAAGAAAGAACAAAAAAATCACTAAACAGTAAACTTGTTAGACCTTGTTTTGGAATTTTATAAATTCTACAAGACACCTGTAGCAATTATTGTTTAGTTTTTGTTTTTCACTGAAAATGTAAACTGCTTCATCTCCCCCCAATCTGCTATTGCTCTTTTAGCGTCCTGTCTGCTAAGATGTCTGTGTAAGTGCTGAATGAACTTCCTTATTCAATAAAATTAAAACTTTTTGGCTTCTTTTGTTTGTTTATACCTGCCCTTGTGAAGAAGTGCCTGATGGAGGCAGAGAATCAAAGGACCTTTCCCTTTGGGGTCTAACACTTAGCTTGTGACACTGATACTTGGTGAGGTTCTGACTAGCCTGGAGCCTCTGTTCCGTCATTTTAAGTAGGAAAATAATAACAAATTCTTAGTCCCTTTAAAAGCTCAGTTTCTTAAGTATATCTCAAATATTCTTAAATACCTATGTAGTTATCCACCCAGGATTTAGGAGATAACTAGGCATTGTTTACTTTAGCAAGGGGAGCTAGCTTACACCACTTACACTGTAAACCCTGTGGCTTCAAATAAAGAAGGCTTGCCTCTTTTTTATGCTGTACTATCTTCTAGAAGGTTTTGCTTACTTTGATCATTGAGGTTGTGGTCCTGAGACAGAACAGAACAACAGGGAAACTTTCAGGAACATGAGAAGAGGAGCCCTTCACCCAGGACTCTCACAGAAGCCTCTCATTGGCCGAAAAGCAGGAATTCCAGCACAGTTTACAACTGCTCAGGCCTTTCTCCTCTCCCAGTTATAAACCTGCAGTTTCCAGGAATCTCACCCCCTTTATACGAAAAGGATGTGAGCCAAACCCCTGTGCAGCCCTAGTGGGTTTTGCTTTTACCTTATCAGATCATAACTCTTCCAAGACATCTCTAAAGGCACAAGCATGCTCTCAGGTGTTTTGGTTTAGAAGTGTCAATGTTCCTAAATCAGTGGAGCAAAACTCATCTCACTGTCCCACTCATGTTTCAAAAGTGTTGGAAAAATAGACAACTTCTGTCATTACAGGAAGGCAAGCAGAACTGCTAAACTTCAAGATGACTTTTACTGTTAACATTTTGGCCAGTTGTGACTTTCTGTGTTAATCACAATCTGTTGCGTGAGGAAGCTTCACTGGTGAGAGTTGAGAGATGCATTCATATTCTCTCTGTCCCTGGTTCTGATATATTCCCTGAGCCTTAGGTGTTGAAGTTGCACTGAGATGTGTCTCTCAGGGCTGGGCATCTTACAGACACTTATTCTCTGTATTTGATCAGTTGTGGAACTTTAAATTGTCTCCATCTGTTGCAAAAAGAAGCTGCTTTGATGAGTGGTGAGAGGTAGACTTGTCTATAAATATAAGGATACTTATTTAGCATACAGTAAGAAATTACATTTGTCTAAGGACGTGACAGATGTAGGTATTTCTCTAGGATCTATGACCTCTCTGGCCATGTGTATTTGGCTATGTTTACAGTACCACACATGAGTTCCCTCCTGTTGAGAGGGCCTTAAGTTCAATTAGATAACTGTTGATTATCCCCAAGATAAAAATGCACCAGTAGAGATAGTTTGCTGGGCTGGTTATTGTTGTAGTTATTAGACTTTACAGATGGGTTGGGCCATTGATTATTTTTCTCCCTTACTTTCATAGTATCCTCTGATACTTTGAGGCTAGTCTTCAGGGAGGAGGCTTCCTGGTCAGTTCCAGCTTGATTGCTCTAAGTTCTATTTTCAAAGTATGTCCTGTCTTCAGCAATAGGTCTTACCTTTGAATTCTGGGAGGCAATCAAGGGCTGTGGCATAGTGTGTGTTATTTTGGGAATTTCTTGGACTACCCTGACCACAACTCGAAGGGAGGTTTCTCTTGGCTGGCACTGTGATTTTTTTTGTTATATAGCCTTTGGCTATACAAATGCACTCATACATTGTATGTGTGTTTTTCAGTAGGGCTTTGAACTAATATATTACCCTCTGGTTTTTCACACTAAACATTATTTATCTCATCTTTCCCTGTATAACCCTCCCTCCCCAGTTAAAGTACCGCATTTTCTCCAGTTTCCCCCTTGATAACACCTGTCTCCTCTATCTTCCTTTCTTGAGCTCCTTCTTCCCCTTTACTGTCATGGTTCCTTATATAACTCTCCCTCCTCCCTTCCCAGTTAAATACCCCCATTTTCCCTTTGATAACATCTGTCTCCTACTGCAGAGTGAGTGTCTCTGGATAGGACTTCTGTGTTAAACCTCTGCCACTCAGGGCTCAGGGGCCATTTCAGAAGAGGGAGCAGAAAGACTGTGAGAGCCAGGAATGGCAGATGACCACAAGGTAACAGTTTTCCAGGTGGCTGGGAACTTGCTCATATGTACTTAAACCAATGGTGACAGCATGCACAAGACCCATGCAAACTCAAGCCAGACAAAAACCCAGCAAGTGGGGACATGGGTAAGAAGCCACAACTTAGTTGAACTATTGGCAGCTGATCTCTGCTGGGTGAGGGAAAGTTGGTCTTAAGGGAGTGATGCTGGATAGGTTGACCAGACTGCAGTGAATGGACTAACACTGAGAGACATTTGAGGACACAAACTTGATAGTCCTTAACATATATGATAGAATGTGTAAATCCAGTGTGGGGAGGGTATAGGGAGTGCAGATAAAGGATGAGTCTAAATATGATCAAGATGTATGAAATGCACAAAAATTCAATTAAAAAATTAAAAACAAAAACCCTAATGATTTTTATCCACACATGGTGGCACACGCCTTTAATCCCAGCGCTCTGGAATCAGAGGCAGGCAGATCTCTGTGTGGTCGAGGCCTGCCTCGTCTACATAGGGAGTTCCAGACCACTGTGGCTATAGTGAGACCCTGTCTCAAAAAACTTTTTTAAAGTTAAAAATATAGGAAAAGTACATTAAAATGTCATCTGAGTGTGTTGGTGCATAACTATAATCTCAGACCATAGGAGGCTGAAGCAATAAGATCATGAGCTCAAGGCCATCATGTCCTACATAGTTAAGTTCCAGGTCTAGGTTACATAGAGGCTCCCATCTCCAGAAAAACCAAAATGAACAAAATCAAACCAAAATAAACCAAAACCCCCTCCTAGCATCTTTAACCTGGCTTTCCAAAGCAGAGCTTTTATTCTGGAGTGACAGAATTGAAGTCTGGGATAGAATACAATGATGGGTCATGGCATATTTTGGGAGACTAAGGAAGATAAGGGTTTTTTTTTAATGGGAAAAGTGATATACGTTGTTTTGAAATAATTGTCTTTGAGGATGGAGATAGTCCAAGGTCAAAGGGTCAGTTGCTGTGTAAACATCTTTGTAAAAGTAGTTTTGTGCAACATTGTGGTTTGGCACAGTCTTTTATGAGGATTCTTGTTATCAGGCAAATACGAGTGAAGACCACCTACCAACTTCCAACTTCATAGTTTACGAACTCCATTTTCCTAAGGCTTATGGCACGTTTCTTCATGTTGAGTCTGACAATTTTCATAGCATCTTTTCAATTCAGCACCAAAATACTTAACAGAATTATGATAGTGTCCTAAAAGGGAGCCTCTCCCTGGGCCCCTGCCTGCCACAGCTCTGTGGCGGAAACCTGGCTCCAGACCCCATTCATTCCCCTGGGGTTGGCCACCCACGTGTGTGTTTTAGAGACAAGGAAATAAAAGCAACTAATGGTTCCACTGGTTCATATGTTGGTATGTATTTCTAAATCTGATATATGTGGAAATTTTATTTTCCCCTTTCCTAGTTCATAAAAAGAAACTAATCTTCCAAACATTCTGCCCTTACATAGACTGTCTCCTGCCAAGTGGTTTTGGAAATCCAAGTGCCATTATTATCTCTCTATCAACTGGAAAAGTGAATGGAAAAATAGTAAGTTTTTTAAAGGAAGAAGGAAAAGAAAGTGCAATGATCTTGGCATGAACAGAGTGTCTTAAATCTGTCAGTTCTCTCTCCCACTGATAATCAAGACCACATATTTGGGTTTTATTTCCATCGAAGAGGGGGACAATGATACCTACCTCTTGGAAGTCAGCTTTCAGATATTTTATCAGGAAAAATTGGGAAGTCATGCTTCCTACAGATGGCATATCTTTATTAGCACATATGTATCCAGGTATGGTTGCTTAACAAAGTAAGGAGGTATTTGCCCCCGGGGCCTTTTGTGTATAGTGTATGTTTCTTAGAGAGCCTCCAGGCCTCTGGTTGTATTGCTGCTAGATGCCATTTCTGATTCCACCGTCTTGTTCCAAATATAATTATATATGTTTGGCATAGATCATCTTGCCCACCTAACTCTTAGAATATTTCTGGACTGAGGTAAAATCTGGCCCCTCTAATATCATATATTTGAGAACTATAGTTCCTCAAGGATGTTTTAAGATGAAAGCCTCCTTACCGCTACTTCCAGCTTCCCCAGGTTCCCAAGGAAATTGGCATCAGGATTTAAGACCCAGAGCTGACAAGTAGTTGCAGGTCGGAACTTGGGTGTATATATCACAATGAAGTCCTGGAGTTTTGGACTAGTGGAGACTAAGGTGAAGTTTGTTGATGCAGGTTTATTTTTGATGGTACTCTGTCCTCTTGGTGGCTGTCGAATATTGGGATCAACACTTATTTCTCAAAAATGTCTGTTTTCAAGCTCTAGAAAGGTTTCTTGTTTGTCTAAGACAATGCTGTGTACTTCAGGGTGGCATATTCTTGTCCCCTACATTAATAATATTTACTAATATGACTGAATACAACTGTACTCATCAGCTAATTAAGGCTGGGAAATTTGGGTTGTGTTAAAAGTAAAAATAATTTGAAGTAGGAGGAGCTAGAGACTGCAGTTAAAATGAGTAATAGGATTAAGTAGAATAATAGTGACAATAAGTAAACTGGAATTGGGCGGCAGTGTTAAAAAAACAACCCAGGGTGGAATTAGAGAACTATAAAATGGAATGTATCCTTAATACTATGAGGGGTAACACAGACTAATAAGAAAAATTCTTAGCTGGGCCTGGTGGTGCACACCTTTAATCCCAGCACTTGGGAGGCAGAGACAGTCATATCTCTAAGTTTGAGGCCAGCCTGGTCTACATAGCCAGTTCCAGGCCAGGCCAGCTGAGACAACAGGGAGACCTCTGTCTCAAAAGGACAAAAAAAAAAAAAATTCTTTTAGAGGGAAGTTAGTAAAGATCATGGCTTGTGTTTTTGGAGA